TTCCTGTCCTGCCCCCACAGGGGTCATGTGGCGTTGAGATCTGTGCGCCACGTCTACCGCACCCTGACCAGCCATTGTTAACAGCATTTGTTCCAGGACGTGCAACAGAGGAATGACGTCGTTCATCCCATAGTCCTGCCGACTCACGAATAGCGTGGCCTCCTCAAAGGGCCTGAGCAAGCGGCAGGTGTCACGCATGAGCTGCCAATGGCTGACATCTAAGTTACACAGGGGAGTACCTTTATCCGCTTGTAACATCAGGAAATCGGTGATGGCCTTTCGCTGTTCGTAAAGGCGGTCTAACATGTGTAGGGTTGAATTCCACCTTGTTGCAACGTCGCAGATCAGGCGATGCTGTGGAATTCCGTTCTGCCGCTGCAGCTCAAGGAGGGTGTGCTTTGCGGTGTAGGAATGGCTGAAATGCATGCAAAGTTTACGTGACATTTTAAGGATGTCTTGCAGTGGGATGGTGGATTTTAGGAACCGCTTGACAACCAGATTGAACACGTGAGCCATGCATGGCGCATGGCACAACCTTCCTTGACGCAGAGCAGACACCATGTTCTTTCCGTTGTCGGTCAACATGGTTCCGATTTTCAGTTTGCGCGGAGACAGCCATCTGTCGATTTCTCTGTTCATTACACTCAGAAGTTCCTCCCCTGTGTGACTACGTTCGCCAAGGCATACCAGGTGCAGCACAGCGTGACACCGTTGCGCCCTGCACATGTGATATGCCGGTCGGGTAATGGGACTTGGCACGGGGGTGGCGGCTGAGGACACGGCGGAAGAAGAGGTGGTAGAGGCGGACATCTTTTGTGGACCAAGGACGTGCAAACGTGGAGGCAAAAGCGGCGTGACCTGTCCAAGTTGCTGGTGCGGCTGTGCCGGCACCACGTTCACCCAGTGGGCCGTAAATGACATGTACTGTCCCTGACCGTAGTTACAGCTCCACACGTCGGCGCTGCCGTGCACTTTGGCAGAGACCGACATGCTCAAAGACTGGCCCACCATCTCTTCTACATGTGAATGCAGGGCTGGCTGGCACTGCCTTTTTGGCGAAGAAATGACGGCTTGGCACTCTCCACCGCGGCGCGGCACAAGCCATCATTTCTCGGAAAGGTGCTGAGTCCACCACTTGGAAAGGGAGGGACTGCAGCACCAGCAACTTGGACAGGAGGACGTTCAGCTTTTGCACCGTCGGGTGCGCTCGCAAACTGTTGTCTCTTGGAAACGGATTCCAAGAAAGACTGCTGACGGAATCCGTGAAGAGGAGTAGCAGGAGAAGGAGCATCTGAACGAGCGGAAGATGCCAACGAGCGACAACTCCCCTCAGCAGAGGTGTTGGAGCCTTGACTGGCTGATAGAGGGCGATTGACGTCGGGTGACGGAGCAAGTAACGGAGCGGGTGATGGAGCGGGGGCTGGGGCAGGCAGAACCGCCGTATCTTTATCACGGTTTTCCCAGGCCACCAAATGGCGACGCTGCATATGCTGACGCAACGCTGTAGTCCCAACATGGGCCCCCTGGCCACGCTTGACTTTCTGGCCACATAGTCGACATACGGCTACGTTTACTTCCTCGGGCGGCTTGACGAAAAAATTGCCACACCGCCGAGTAGGAAACTTTGCCCCCGATACTCCTCACTGGCTGACTGCTACTTCCTCCGTGCACACCGGCACCACTACTGGCCCGTGGTGGTAGGCTGCAGTGGAGCTGGTGCTCTACTCCGTGGCCGTTTGCCTCCACTGACACTGCTGCGACCCTGCTGCCTCCTGGGCAACCCACCGACTGTTTTGCTCGCTGCCAAGCTGCCACCCTCTTCTCCTGATGATGCGGAAGCAATAGCCTGATGACGACGAGGCTGCCAAGTGCGATCAGCCTCATCATCATCAATTAGGGTCTCCGCCTCACTACTAGCCCCCTCGGCTGCGTGTGGGTCAGGAGACAGACCTGTCTCTAGACCGGCTACCGAGCCACTCTCCTCGCCACTACTTTCTTCGCCTGGCTGCTGAAGAGGCGGATGTCTCTCCCCGTTCCTGACCGCCCTCTGTTAGCTCTTCCTCACTGTACAGTGGGGCTGAGCCCACAGCATGCGATACTTCGCTTGGTGAGGGAACACCAAAGGACAGGGGCAGGTAGAGGACACGTGATTTCAGTGGGCTTGCTCCCGGGCCATGCCAAACGGTTGTGTCTGACGTACCCACCGACCGTTGGCTGTAGGTGTCAGAGGTGACCTGGGAAGAGGAAGACGACCGAGCCAACCAATCGATGACGGCAGGGTTGTCGGTGGAGACCGCCGCTGATGACACCGGGAGCACTGGCCTCTGGCTGCGACTAGTGCTGCCTCGACCCCTTCCTCTGCTGCCACGTCTGCTCTCTCCTAAAACATTGCCTCCTCTGCCACTCCTCTGCATGTTGTCTGACATACTCTTTAATTCAACGATTCTGTGTCCCTGTCAGGGCTCCCAGGTGTGACCAGAGGTGTGTGACTGACGCAGGGAAACGCAGACTTCAGATATGTGATAAACAATATAATTTTTTAACACTAACAATACAAACATAAACGCAGTGCAATACTAAACATAATACAGTGCAAACAAACCAAACCAACCACCCACAGATAACAGTACATACAAGCAAGCGTCGTCAGGCAGGCCGGGTCAATATCAATTGGGCAGGTAGGTACAGGGGGAGCAAGCGGAGATTGGTCGGGGTCACAGGCTAGGTTCAGTAGGTAGCTAGCAGCGTAGTACAGAGGGTCAGGCAGAGGGATGGTCAGGGTCACAAGCCAGGGATCAGAACAGGTAGCAGGCAGCGTAATACAGAGGGTCAGGCAGAGGGATGGTCAGACAAGCCAGGGATCAGAGCAGGGTCAGCAGAGAATCAGACAGGAACAGAGAGCAGGAACAGGATACAGGGCCCAAGAGAAACACAACACCAAGGCAGAGTCTGCAAGTCTGGCCATCCCTTAAATACCCCAGCATAATCAGTTCCAGGTGTTAGCTGGCTGCAAAGTTGAGTCTCTGATTGCTGGGAGCACCCGCTGGCCAGCCCTGGTACTGCAGATCAAAAGGCAGGTGAGTCCCACCATTGCTGGCTAGTCCATTCCTGACAGTACCCCCCCCCCTCAAGGAGCGGCCTCAGGACGCTCCAAACAGTCCTAGCTGGGCAAAATGTTCCACCGCCCGGGTCTGGTAACTGGCGGGATATCAAAGACTGGCACATCGGGCAGGACTCCGGGCAGAGGCACATCGGGCAGGACTCCGGGCAGAGGCACATCGGGCAGGACTCCGGGCAGAGGCACATCGGGCAGGACTCCGGGCAGAGGCACATCGGGCAGGAGGCTCCGGGCAGGACAGCAGAGGCACATCGGATTACCAGGCGAAGCGGCAGGCAGCGGGCCACCGGGCGGGGCGGCAGGCACCGGGCACCGGGCCCCCGGGCGGGGCGGGGCGGCAGGCACCGGGCCCCCGGGTGGGGCTGCAGGCACCGGGCCCCCGGGCGGGGCGGCACGCAGCCGGACCCCCAAGTGGAGCGACAGGTCTCGGGCCCTCAGGCGGAGCGGCGGGCGCCCGACCCCCAGGTGGAGCGACAGGTCTCGGGCCCCCAGGCAGAGCGACAGGTCTCGGGCCCCCAGGCGGAGCGGCGGGCGCCGACCCCCAGATGGAGCGACAGGTCTCAGGCCCTCAGGCAGAGCGGCGGGCGCCGGACCCCCAGGAGCGACAGGTCTCGGGCCCCCAGGCGGCGCAGCGGCGGGCGCCGGACCCCCAGGTGGAGCGACAGGTCTCGGGCCCCCGGCCCCCAGGGCGGAGCGACAGGGGCTCGGGCCCTCAGGAGGAGCGGCGGGCGCCGGACCCCCCAGATGGAGCGACAGGTCTCGGGCCCCCTCAGGCGGAGCGGCGGGCGCCGGACCCCCAGGTGGAGCGACAGGTCTCGGGCCCTCAGGCGGAGCGGCGGGCGCCGGACCCCCAGGTGGAGCGACAGGTCTCGGGCCCCCGGGCGGAGCAACAGGTCTCGGCGGGCCCCCAGACGAAGCGGCGGGCACCGAGTCACCAGGCACGACAGTGGGCACCGAGTCGTCTGGCAAGACTGCGGGCACCAAGTCAACTGGCGGAACAGCGGGCATCGAGTCAACTGGCGGAACTGCGGGCACCGAGTCCTGGCAAGACTGCGGGCACCGAGTCGTCTGGCAAGACTGCGGGCACCGAGTCGTCTGGCAAGACTGCGGGCACCGAGTCGTCTGGCAAGACTGCGGGCACCGAGTCGTCTGGCAAGACTGCGGGGGCACCGAGTCGTCTGGCGGAACAGCGGGCATCGAGTCAACTGGCGGAACTGCGGGCACCGAGTCGTCTGGCAAGACTGCGGGCACCGAGACGTCTGGCAAGACTGCGGGCACCGAGTCGTCTGGCAAGACTGCGGGCACCGAGTCGTCTGGCAAGACTGCGGGCACCGAGTCGTCTGGCAAGACTGCGGGCACCGAGTCGTCTGGCAAGACTGCGGGCATCGAGTCAACTGGCGGAACAGCGGGCACCGAGTCGTCTGGCAAGACTGCGGGCTCCGAGTCAACTGGCGGAACAGCGGGCATCGAGTCAACTGGCGGAACAGCGGGCACCGAGTCGTCTGGCAAGACTGCGGGCACCGAGTCGTCTGGCAAGACTGCGGGCACCAAGTCGTCTGGCAAGACTGCGGGCGCCAAGTCGTCTGGCAAGACTGCGGGCACCGAGTCGTCTGGCAAGACTGCGGGCACCGAGTCGTCTGGCAAGACTGCGGGCACCGAGTCAACTGGCGGAACAGCGGGCATCGAGTCAACTGGCGGAACTGCGGGCACCGAGTCGTCTGGCAAGACTGCGGGCACCGAGTCGTCTGGCAAGACTGCGGGCACCGAGTCGTCTGGCAAGACTGCGGGCACCGAGTCGTCTGGCAAGACTGCGGGCACCGAGTCGTCTGGCAAGACTGCGGGCACCGAGTCGTCTGGCAAGACAGCGGGCACCGAGTCGTCTGGCAAGCGGCACCGAGTCGTCTGGCAAGACAGTGGGCTCCGAGTCAACAGGCACGACAGTGGGCACCGGGTCATCAGGTATCGGATTGTCTGGCTCGACAGCGGGCATCGGGTCACCAGGTATGACAGCGGGCACTGGGTCACCAGGCATCAGGTCATTTGGCTTGCCAGCGGGCACCGCGTCATCTGGCAAGGCAGTGGGCACCGGGTCACCAGGTATGACAGCGGGCTCTGAGTCAATTGGCACGACAGCGGGCACTGGATCAGGTACCGGATCATCTGGATCAACAGCGGGCATCGAGTCAACTGGCCTAATAGGATCGTCGGGCTGGATCAGTTCATCATGCTGAGTAGCGGCATCAGGCTGAATGCAGGCATCAGGCTGAGGAGGCATCAGGCTGAGGAGAGAGGCATCCGGCTGAAGAGAGGCATCCGGCTGAAGAGAGGCATCAGGCTGAAGAGAGGCATCCGGCTGAAGAGAGGCATCAGGCTGAAGAGAGGCATCCGGCTGAAGAGAGGCATCCGGCTGAAGAGAGGCATCAGGCTGAAGAGAGGCATCCGGCTGAAGAGAGGCATCAGGCTGAAGAGAGGCATCCGGCTGAAGAGAGGCATCCGGCTGAAGAGAGGCATCCGGCTGAGGAGAGGCTTCAGGCTGAGGAGAGGCATCAGGCTGAGTAGAGGCTTCAGGCTGAGTAGAGGCTTCAGGCTGAGTAGAGGCTTCAGGCTGAGTAGAGGCTTCAGGAAGGCAGGCTGAGTCACGGAAGGCAGGTTCACCGGTTTGGATACTGGTAGGATGGTATGGTTGGAAAGAATTTTCGCTTTTTTTCTGGTTTTAACTACTGGAGCACTGCAAGTAAACGCAGGTCTGCAAACGAATGGAGCAGCTGGAGACAGAGAAAAACTGGAGGATGGAACAGGAGAGGGAGCAGTTGCTACAGAGGGCTTTTTTACAGGGTTAAAGGCAGGATAGGTGCAGCGAGTGGGAACAGGGTACTGACATGCGGTAGATAGCCAAGTATACTGGGCTGTAACTGGAGGAGCTGGTGGGAATACAGGAGTAGAGTTAGAAGCAGGACTGGGTTTTTGTAAGCTGACTGAGGCTGGGTGCAACAAGTCTGTCCATGTCTGCAGTAGGGGTTGAACAAAGCTGAGCTTACACAAAGCCTGTCTGGTCAATGACTGCACTGCGTTTATACAATCTCTTAGTGTCTGTGGTGAACATGTGGAATAACGCTCCAGAAAGTAACCCACATCATCCTCTAATAACCACACCAGGGACTCTACCTGGTCTGCACTAAATGGTGGCAAAAATTCATCCCTGCATTCGGGGAACCAGATGAAACCAACTCAGCACAAACCTCAATCAAAGGCTGCACCTCAGAGAACTCTGTGCCCTGATCTACTAGAACATGAGCGAGCCGTATACATCATTCTAGTAGTTGATCCCGGGGATACTCCTTCAGAGTTTGATAAGCATACTCCCTGTCATCAAACACTAGCAGATATAAATACACAACCTCATCCAGATCCATCCTTCCCAGCAACAAGCCAAGATGGCTTCCCTGTGCAGCCACTTCTGGTCAGGATTGGCCTTGGTGTAATGTCAGGGCTCCCAGGTGTGACCAGAGGTGTGTGACTGACGCAGGGAAACGCAGACTTCAGATATGTGATAAACAATATAATTTATTAACACTAACAATACAAACATAAACGCAGTGCAATACTAAACATAATACAGTGCAAACAAACCAAACCAACCACCCCACAGATAACAGTACATACAAGCAAGCGTCGTCAGGCAGGCCGGGTCAATATCAATTGGGCAGGTAGGTACAGGGGGAGCAAGCTGGTCGGGGTCACAGGCCAGGTTCAGTAGGTAGCTAGCAGCGTAGTACAGAGGGTCAGGCAGAGGGATGGTCAGGGTCACAAGCCAGGGATCAGAACAGGTAGCAGGCAGCGTAGTACAGAGGGTCAGGCAGAGGGATGGTCAGACAAGCCAGGGATCAGAGCAGGGTCAGCAGAGAATCAGACAGGAACAGAGAGCAGGAACAGGATACAGGGCCAAGAGAAACACAACACCAAGGCAGAGTCTGCAAGTCTGGCCATCCCTTAAATACCCCAGCATAATCAGTTCCAGGTGTTAGCTGGCTGCAAAGTTGAGTCTCTGATTGCTGGGAGCACCCGCTGGCCAGCCCTGGTACTGCAGATCAAAAGGCAGGTGAGTCCCACCATTGCTGGCTAGTCCATTCCTGACAGTCCCTGAGTAACAATTCTGTGTCCCTGAGTAACAATTCTGTGTCTGTCCCTGAGTAACAATTCTGTGTCCCTCAGTAACAATTCTGTGTCCCTGAGTAACAATTCTGTGTCTGTCCCTGAGTAACAATTCTGTGTCCCTGAGTAACAATTCTGTGTCCCTCAGTAACAATTCTGTGTCCCTGAGTAACAATTCTGTGTCCCAGTAACAATTCTGTGTCTGTCCCTGAGTAACAATTCTGTGTCCCTCAGTAACAATTCTGTGTCCCTCAGTAACAATTCTGTGTCTGTCCCTGAGTAACAATTCTGTGTCCCTGAGTAACAATTCTGTGTCCCTCAGTAACAATTCTGTGTCCCTCAGTAACAATTCTGTGTCCCTCAGTAACAATTCTGTGTCTGTCCCTGAGTAACAATTCTGTGTCCCTCAGTAACAATTCTGTGTCCCTCAGTAACAATTCTGTGTCCCCCTGAGTAACAATTCTGTGTCCCTGAGTAACAATTCTGTGTCCCTGAGTAACAATTCTGTGTCCCTCAGTAACAATTCTGTGTCCCTCAGTAACAATTCTGTGTCTGTCCCTGAGTAACAATTCTGTGTCCCTCAGTAACAATTCTGTGTCCCTCAGTAACAATTCTGTGTCTGTCCCTGAGTAACAATTCTGTGTCTGTCCCTGAGTAACAATTCTGTGTCCCTCAGTAACAATTCTGTGTCCCTCAGTAACAATTCTGTGTCCCCTCAGTAACAATTCTGTGTCTGTCCCTGAGTAACAATTCTGTGTCCCTGAGTAACAATTCTGTGTCCCTCAGTAACAATTCTGTGTCCCTCAGTAACAATTCTGTGTCTGTCCCTGAGTAACAATTCTGTGTCCCTGAGTAACAATTCTGTGTCCCTCAGTAACAATTCTGTGTCCCTCAGTAACAATTCTGTGTCTGTCCCTGAGTAACAATTCTGTGTCCCTGAGTAACAATTCTGTGTCCCTCAGTAACAATTCTGTGTCCCTGAGTAACAATTCTGTGTCCCTCAGTAACAATTCTGTGTCTGTCCCTGAGTAACAATTCTGTGTCCCCCCTCAGTAACAATTCTGTGTCCCTGAGTAACAATTCTGTGTCCCTCAGTAACAATTCTGTGTCCCTGAGTAACAATTCTGTGTCTCCCTCAGTAACAATTCTGTGTCTGTCCCTGAGTAACAATTCTGTGTCCCTCAGTAACAATTCTGTGTCCCTCAGTAACAATTCTGTGTCTGTCCCTGAGTAACAATTCTGTGTCCCTGAGTAACAATTCTGTGTCCCTCAGTAACAATTCTGTGTCCCTCAGTAACAATTCTGTGTCCCTCAGTAACAATTCTGTGTCTGTCCCTGAGTAACAATTCTGTGTCCCTCAGTAACAATTCTGTGTCCCTCAGTAACAATTCTGTGTCTGTCCCTGAGTAACAATTCTGTGTCCCTGAGTAACAATTCTGTGTCCCTGAGTAACAATTCTGTGTCCCTCAGTAACAATTCTGTGTCCCTCAGTAACAATTCTGTGTCTGTCCCTGAGTAACAATTCTGTGTCCCTCAGTAACAATTCTGTGTCCCTCAGTAACAATTCTGTGTCTGTCCCTGAGTAACAATTCTGTGTCTGTCCCTGAGTAACAATTCTGTGTCCCTCAGTAACAATTCTGTGTCCCTCAGTAAACAATTCTGTGTCCCTCAGTAACAATTCTGTCTGTCCCTGTCCAATTCTGTGTCCCTGAGTAACAATTCTGTGTCCCTGAGTAACAATTCTGTGTCCCTCAGTAACAATTCTGTGTCCCTCAGTAACAATTCTGTGTCTGTCCCTGAGTAACAATTCTGTGTCCCCTGAGTAACAATTCTGTGTCCCTCAGTAACAATTCTGTGTCCCTCAGTAACAATTCTGTGTCCCCCTGAGTAACAATTCTGTGTCCCTGAGTAACAATTCTGTGTCCCTGAGTAACAATTCTGTGTCCCCTCAGTAACAATTCTGTGTCCCTGAGTAACAATTCTGTGTCCCTCAGTAACAATTCTGTGTCAATTCTGTCCCTGAGTAACAATTCTGTGTCCCCTGAGTAACAATTCTGTGTCCCTCAGTAAACAATTCTGTGTCCCTGAGTAACAATTCTGTGTCCCTCAGTAACAATTCTGTGTCCCTGAGTAACAATTCTGTGTCCCTCAGTAACAATTCTGTGTCCCTCAGTAACAATTCTGTGTCAATTCTGTCCCCCTGAGTAACAATTCTGTGTCCCTCAGTAACAATTCTGTGTCCCTCAGTAACAATTCTGTGTCCCCTGAGTAACAATTCTGTGTCCCTGAGTAACAATTCTGTGTCCCTCAGTAACAATTCTGTGTCCCTCAGTAACAATTCTGTGTCCCTCAGTAACAATTCTGTGTCTGTCCCTGAGTAACAATTCTGTGTCCCTCAGTAACAATTCTGTGTCCCTCAGTAACAATTCTGTGTCTGTCCCTGAGTAACAATTCTGTGTCCCTGAGTAACAATTCTGTGTCCCTCAGTAACAATTCTGTGTCCCTCAGTAACAATTCTGTGTCTGTCCCTGAGTAACAATTCTGTGTCCCTGAGTAACAATTCTGTGTCCCTCAGTAACAATTCTGTGTCTGTCCCTGAGTAACAATTCTGTGTCTGTCCCTGAGTAACAATTCTGTGTCCCTCAGTAACAATTCTGTGTCTGTCCCTGAGTAACAATTCTGTGTCCCTGAGTAACAATTCTGTGTCCCTGAGTAACAATTCTGTGTCCCTCAGTAACAATTCTGTGTCCCTCAGTAACAATTCTGTGTCTGTCCCTGAGTAACAATTCTGTGTCTGTCCCTGAGTAACAATTCTGTGTCCCTCAGTAACAATTCTGTGTCCCTCAGTAACAATTCTGTGTCCCTCAGTAACAATTCTGTGTATGTCCCTGAGTAACAATTCTGTGTCTGTCCCTCAGTAACAATTCTGTGTCCCTCAGTAACAATTCTGTGTCCCTCAGTAACAATTCTGTGTCCCTCAGTTACAATTCTGTGTCTGTCCCTGAGTAACAATTCTGTGTCTGTCCCTGAGTAACAATTCTGTGTCTGTCCCTGAGTAACAATTCTGTGTCCCTCAGTAACAATTCTGTGTCTGTCCCTGAGTAAAAATTTCTGTGTCTGTCCCTGAGTAACAATTCTGTGTCTGTCCCTGAGTAACAAATTCTGTGTCTGTCCCTGAGTAACAATTCTGTGTCCCTCAGTAACAATTCTGTGTCCCTCAGTAACAATTCTGTGTCTGTCCCTGAGTAACAATTCTGTGTCCCTAAGTAACGTTTCTGTGGCCCTAAGTAACGGTTCTGTGTCCCTCAGTAACGATTCTGTGGCCCTAAGTAACGTTTCTGTGGCCCTAAGTAACGTTTCTTTGTGGCCCTAAGTAACGTTTCTGTGGCCCTA